AAAATATATTTATTAAACTATATATAAATAAAAGTTCATATAATTCTATATGACCATTATTGTGTAATAAAAAAAAACAAATTCTGGTTTTTTTTGGACCAGACTGTAACTATTCTAGCTTGAAATATCTCAATTCAGTGTTTGCTTAATTAAAAGACTTATTAAACAACGTTTGTTTGTGATATCTCAGGTGGTGATAAAGGATCATAATTTTTTCTAAGATTCAAGTAAAAAGTATCAGGATATCTGAGTGATTAATTAATCCTTATGAATTTAATCTAATATATAAGTTAGTATTAGCATATATAGATTAATTGTATGACAAACTCTTTCTGCTAATCCTCTGACCATACACAAAAAAAAATGTTCGCAAGAAGTTTTTATACTTTTATATTAATAAAGTCTTATTGCTCTCCTTAAACCAACTTGAAGAAGCTTCAAGAGTCATTAACTACTTTCTTTCCTCTTGTTTACTATTCTTTTCAAACAAAAACTTGATCTTTAGTAACCTTAAAGGTCAAAAAAGACCTTTTTTATCAATGGTAAGAAAGTTCCAAAAGGAAGAAGAACTAATGTGCCATCATTTCACACTGTAAAAAAATAGCTCAGAAGTCTATGAATGATGGGAGACAATTTTCCCACTCTCTTGTCATTATGTCTACTTCTCATAGTGCTCGTTCATGACTTTTTCTAAAGGATTTTGCCTATCTCAGTTTGATCCTGAATTTTGAGTAGCACAAAATTTCTCACATTGTGATTGGATAGATAGAACTCACATTAGTAAAAGAATATAAACAAGCTTTCATTGGTCACTCCACATATCTGAATGCATTTTCTCAGCTCTATAAGAATCTGGGGTCCACCATAAGTTATTGTGCTAGTGCAAGTGAATATTGGACACCTCTCTATTTACATCATTGGTTCCTTCAAGAAAGAGTTTGTATGACTATGGTAAAGGTCAACAGATACTATAACTGGGTTTTATGGTTATAGTTATCCACTCCTGGCCACTAAGTAGATTTCTTCTTCAGCTCTGTCGAATAGGTAAAGATTTGAAACAAAGTCTCCACAGCAAAGTTGGATTATATGGCAGATGAAACATAAGGAATCAAATTTTTTTTGAGGGATGATGTGTCTCACTTGAGTATATTAGTTAGGGTGAATCTAGGAGGATTGATAAATCTTCTTTCTTGGTGTGTGAATTAGATTGATCTGAGTAATTCTTCCTGACAACAAGCCATCCCGTGAATTGAAGTGATTAGAATTTCACAATATGGAAATACTGAAAGTAACTGAAAAATGGGCAATACACTCTCAACTAATAAAGCTCTCAAAGAGTAACCAGCTTACGGAATTAAAATGATAGTAGTAGTATAAAATTTTAACTATTTACAGACAATTCTAGGAGTGTTTTATTAGTAACCATTTTTTGTATATGTATTTATTTATCAAGACTTGAAACTTTAATAAAACAAGATTGAGTCACCATTTTTAAAAAATATATATATATATAGATTATTTGTAAGATCTATTGACTATATTAGATATTCCTATTAGACTGTTATCAACCACCAGTTTTTAGTTGTGTCTACCCTATTTTTAGAATGGTAAGTAGGATTAACTAAAATAAGTCATGATATGTTATTATTAATCTGTATGTATATAAAAATATATAGTTTGTATAAGATAATTAATATCATGTCAAAGGACCTAGTATCCAAGTTTAAGTTAACTTTTAATAAAAGACTTGCATCTAATACCAGTTACAATTAACAAATTAGAAAAAAAAAATTTTTTTTGATTATTTTTTTTACTTTAATTAAATTTTTGAAATAAAATTATTAATTAATTATTTATTTAATTATAAATAAAAAATAAAAGGGTAAAGGTTTTGCCTCAAACTATATATTATATTATATAAAAATACTATAATTAATTGAATATTTTAATTAATATTGTTAAATATAAAGTATCAAATTCTTTTTATTGATTTTTTAACCATACATAAAAAAGATGTTTATAAAAAGTTATTATACTTCTATACTAAGAAAATCTTATTACTATCCTTAAATCAATTTGAGAAGAAGTTCAAGAGTCACCATTACACTTTTCTTTCCTTTTGTAAACATTCCTCTTAAAATAAAAATATGATTTTCATTGACTCAAGCCATAAAACATCTTTTTTATCAATAACAAAAAAGTTTTGAAAGAAAAAAGAACTGAAGTGCTTTGGTTTTTTCATTTAGCAGAGAAACACTACAGAGCTATATTTATAATGAGAGACTCTTTAAAATATAATCATCTACTCTCTTGATATGGTAGTAGCTGTAATAGTATTCATTCTTAATTTTTTTTGAAAAAATTTGCCTATTCAATTTGATCCTAAATTTCAAGTAATATAAAGTTTCTCACATAGTGATTGGACAGAAGAATACATGTTAGTAAAAGAATATGAACAAGTTTTTAGTGATTATATTAATATATTTTCTTAGCTTTATAAGAACTTGGGATTCATTATAAGTTATTATGGGTGGATATAGAACATATTTTCATACAAGTCATTTGACTATCTCTAGAAAGAGTCCATCTAACCATGGTAAAGGTTACAAGATATTGTAACTAGTTTTTAGAGATACAATCCTCTGTTTTTGGTTACCAAATAGATTCCTTTCAATTCTATTGAATAAGTAAAAATTCGAAGATAGGGCACTGATTCCTCTATTTATCTTTTGACTCAATTTTTAGAACATAGAGAATGGAGTGTATGAATAGTGACCTTTACTATACTATTCTTAAATGATAAGAATAAAAAAAAATAGTTTGTGAATTGGCCTACCCATATCAATATATATATTTTTACTTCAACTCTTTTTCATTTCTAAATGGGATTGAATTCATCTCTATATCCTTCATATCTTCTGAGAAAGTGACTCAGTAGTTTATCCTAAAGACTTCTTTCTTTCTATTGAGCATTAATATTTTATTCCTGCGTATAATTTATAATGATATTTTGAGAGCTTTCACAAGGAAATATAAGTTAATTATCAAAGGCAATGATTAAAATTTTTGTATTTTTTAAGAACCTAGGTAAATATATTTGAAATATAACTAATATTGTACAAAAAATTATTGAAGGATTTAAAATATGATCAAATTACATACTAATATTTTTATTATCATATATAAATGAATATTTGGCATTACTTGAGAAGTTTTAATGAATATCTTGAACAAAGTTTTCTTTTTCCTATATAAGTTACATAGCAGGGAATTGTGCATATAGATTAACCATCCCATCCACTTATTTATTTTCTGACCTCCCTTCTTCCTTCCTCTTTAAAATTTTTTCAACACTAGTGATCTTTTGTTAGTTTTCACTTTAGAGACAGCAACATGTCCGAGAATGATTAATATAATTATATCATTTAACTTTATAGGTTTAAAATTGTATTTTTAATATGTACTATATTTACATTTAAAAACTATATCCAATAAAGTAAAGGCTGAGCTGGCAATTAAAAAAAAAAAAAGGAAAAGAAAAAAATTTTGAATATTTTAATACTTTTTATTTAACTATTGAAAGGAATTTTTGTCTTTTTTGTTATAAAATTTTATAATTAATAAAAATAATAAATATAATTCTAATATATTGTATATTTTTAAAAATATTACAATTTTAAGTCCACGAAAATTTCTGATTTATTTTCAAAAATATACATTTATATTTTACCACTTTAATTTATAAAAAAATTTTTGTTTCTGTAATTTATTTTATAACTAACTTTATTTTTAACTTTTATAAAAAAAGTTAATTTTAATAATATATTAAAAAGGGTATGTAAAATTTTTATTTAAAAGAATAAGTAACGAAAAAAAAAGAGTTCAAGATAACTCAGTAGTTTTTAATCGAGCTACAATAAGAAACCGAAATTTACACATTAATTGCATCGTTCGATGCATTATATACTGTACCAGCTTTGAAATCATAATATACGCTACGTGAGTATTTGATTAAGATCGGCAATGTTATTGTTGCAGACTACCGAATCATTTATTCGCGCTTGTTGCTCAGATCGAATACGGGAACAGTGAAATAAGAAGATTCTTTTGTAAGAAGACCAGCAAGAGCGTTATACCAGGCGATGAATGCAGTGATGATACCAAATATGCCGCCAGCTTTGGTGGCACCATTTACGGGTGTCGCAGCAGGGGTAAATTTACCGATAGTGAGAAGTAGGAAAGTGATCAATAAAAAGAAAAACAAGGCTACCATTCCGGCGTTCGAACGAAAGGTGGCCAAAAATAATATGAAGGTGACTATGACAATAATTTTTTGCGATTAGCTTGGAGCACGCGTATAGCAGCGATATTATATTGAAGACACCTACAGATGGTCCATCCGGCGAGGTAAATACCTAATGCATGATCCAAATCTTGACCGGAATAAGGCGCGGTGATATCGAAGCCGGGAATCAAGATAACGCCAAATGATAACCAAAAACCAGCGTATGAAGAAAAAGCTGTAGCACCAAATGTGTTACCCGTTCTGAATTCCCACATACCGGCCAGTAATTGACAAATGCCACCGTAGAACAAGGCCAGACCGGTAATAACGTTTGGCAATGTGAGATTTGGTGAGCCGGAGTTATTGACGGATAATACGAATGTAGTCAATGCGAAAGCGGAGAGTCCTGATTGTCATATATCGTGAGAACATCGGTTAACGTGAGATAAAGAAAATTAAATAGAACTTCAAACGGAGAATATTGGTTTACCAAGCGGCGCAGGGTTGGCGATTCTTGGCTGAATAACGTGTTGTTTTCCATCTTCTATAGACATGTTTATGAATTAGAATTCTCTATTATTTAATTAAAGTGACTCTAATCAGTGAATTCACACAATGAAACGTGCAACAAAAAGTTAATACTATTAAACTCGAGATTAGAAATTGGTCAAGAAGAAAGAATTGTTTGTTATTCCATGCGGGAATAAAGAATTTAAGAAAGGTGTGAGTTTGTAATAGTCTTGGATGAGGTTTTGTGAGTCGGTGAGAGGTATTGGATTTATAAATGTAGAATGAAATGTCTTTTTAGGGGAAATAATAAAAATAACGAGCCTATAAATACTTGGTAAATTATTAATCCACAACAATATATACATAAATCGTTAACATCATCACATAAGCGTAAATAAGTATAACAAGGGAAGAACACTTTATGAATAGGACAAAGGCGCGTCAATGATGATCATTAAATAACTTGGTAAAAACTAAAATAATAATTGTTTGTCTTTAAGGGTCGGTGATTATATGTAGGTTCTGATTGGGATACGTCTCAAAGCATATTACTGGAACGTAATTTAAAGGGAAAGATTTTTTGCGAGGAACGATTATCGCTTCCTATTGTTGGAAACTTTAATGAATTTCGTAATGGATCAACCGGAGCTAAATAAAATTGCAAAATGAGACACCTGTTTATTTGCGAAAAATACTATAGAATATTGCCTCTTCTTGCAATCAACTAATATAGCCAACCACCAGGTACGAAGCTACCAGGACATATGACGACTGTTTCAGGAGGTTTTTGTGGGACATTTTGTGCAGCATCCATACGGGCATCAGACCATTTTGAATATTGAATAATGCATACAATGTAACCCTTGAAAATATCCCGCGCAGTCGAAAATAGGCGAACACCATCATTTAAAGATTAAATAGGAAATGTGCATAAACATATGATTATACTGTATGATAATATTAATAGATATCGCACAACTTACTTTAAAACAAAATTTTTATCGTTAAATAATTTTTTAAAGATTTGTAATTAAATCAATTATAAATTTAAAAATAAATATTATCTTAAAGTATTGTATATTAAAAAATTTTTGATAAAAGTATTGTATATTAAAAAAATTTCAATAAAAAAATTATTTTATAAAATTTATATTAAAAATATTGATATCTAAAAACGATTTATTAATACTTGTTGGAGATGATGTCGAAATCGGATGATACTGAATTACACGTTATTAAGATAACGAGATTTTTATTATTATTACGGATCACGTAAATTTAAGCATCATCCGATTTTAGCATTATTCTTGATAAAACTTCTGTTTATTTAATTGTTTATTTTTAAACAAAAAAAATCCAATTTTTAATAATGTCGATAAAATAAACAAAGATAAGATAAAGATTTTAAAATTTATTAAATTATTTATTAAAAGTTACTATATAGAAATATATCTTTTATTAAAAAAATTAATTAACTTTTATATGTTAAAATTTTTAATTAAAATTGTTAAATTTTTTAAAACAATGATCTTTAAGGCAATTAAATAATAATATTTATTATTATAAACTTCTTGATTAATAAAAAATTGTTATAAATAAATAAATATATAAATATATATATATATAATTATTAAATATTATACAAGAAACTTTTTTACTTTTATTAAAATTAATATTCTTTATAAAATAACTTTACACTTTATTATAATAAATTTTTTTGCTAATTAATAATAATATTATTATATTCATAACTATCTAAACTAAATATGAAAAACTAGATAAAAACTTTTTTCATTGATCATTTGATCATATACAAAAAAGATGTTCACAAGAAGTTTTTATACTTTTTTACTAATAAAATCTTAACATTTTTATTAAAACAACTTGAAATATGATTTCAAAGGTTATGTCTATACTTTTCTTTTTGTTTATAAATCTCTTTACTCAAAAACTTGACTTTTAATGATCAAAAAAATTAAGTGATACCTTTAATATCAACAGTAAAAGACTTTCTTCCTTCAAAAAACTGATTATAAAATATTTGAAAACCTTTTTAGTTGTTAAAACAAAAGATTTATAGAGATTTGTTATAGTTAAAAAACTTATTTTTTTATTTTAACAGTCTTGACCCTCTTAGAACTTTCACTTTTAAAGTTTTCTTGATAATTTTATTTATTTCAATTTGATCTTAAATTTTAGTATCACAAATCCTTATCAAAAATAATTGACTAACACAAAACATATTAGTTTTTTAAATATAAATAAACATCTATTGGTTACATTCATATATTCTAATGATATTATTAATAATTGAAAAGAAAAATCCATAAAAAAATATTTTTCAACTAAACAAATTTTCAAAAAAAATAGTTATAATATTAAAAAGCAAGTAAAAATATAAAATATGATATTCTAATCTCTTAATTAATTTCTTCAAGTAGTAAAAAGACTTTTTTTAAAAAAAAAACTGAGATCTCCAAGCTTCTATCCTAATCAGATAAAGTTTTTATAAAAGTTTCTTTATCCTAGTCAAACTAACTTTACTATAATATAATATTAATATCAATAGTATAATAAGGAAATCTATATATCAATAAAAAGATAAATTCTTCTTTAAATATTTTTCTTGAAATCTTCATACTCAAAAATAACCAATTTCTTCAAATGATCAGAAGTTTAATAAATATCTCAGTTGGATAGATCTTTTTTAAAAAAAATCCATTTATTTAAATAAAAATCTTTTAAAAGAGTTTGAATTATTATTATTTTTCTTTTTTCAATATGTAATTTAACAATTTATTATTTTTTAGAATAATCTACAATAACAATTTGTGAGCAATGATTTTAGCAAATAGAAATTAAAATCAATCTATCAGAAAAGTATAATATTGTCTCCTAAATTTAACTCAGAATATCTAATTTAAACTTTGTTTAATCCAAACTAGCTTAATAAATCCCTCATATTTTTTAAGTAATATAATTCTTTAACCAATGATATATAAAATAAGTTAATCATTATATAAATAGTTTATGTAATATTATAAATATTTCTAATATATTAATAAAAATCTATTAGAATAGTATAATTAATTGTAAGTTTAAAAAAATAACTATCTAAAATAAATAAATATATAATAAAAAATTTATAAAAAAAATAATTAAAAATTAAATATATAATTACTAATCCATAAATTATTAAATATTATGAAAATTTATTATTAAAAAACTTTAAATAAAAAAATTTTTAATTTTTTTTTTTTTTTTTTTTAATAAGCCCATACCTAACTTTATTGATTTTCAAATTACAAATATACATTGTGCAGCATGAATACATAGGTGTATATTCAGGATTAATAAAAATAATGATAAGTTAAAATTATTTTTAAAATTACTTTAAGGCTTGTTATCTTTCTTTTAACAAAAAAAAACCAGTATCCTTAGAGCATGCCAGTATTGTAAATGAAAATAAATGAAATAAATGAAAATGAAAATTGGACAGTCATATGTAATATACCAATCCTATTTTTTGATATATGATTATCTTGTTTCAATTCCTCTTATAGAAAAGTCTGAAGAGAAACTTCTATTAAGTCTTTATGAAGATAAGATGGAGGTCAATAAGGGAAACTATACAGTTTTAAGGTTTGTGAGGTGGGAGTAACCAGGAAAATGATTTATCAGATAAGTTTAGTTACTTCTTGGATTTCTTGCAGTGTCAAAAAAGATATTAACCTATATTAATATGGTTGTGAGCTATGTAACGTTAATATTGGTTCCCTTTTTTTGACTGTAAATCAGTTTATAGATCTTTTTTCTTTTTCCTAAAAATTTAAAAAAAAGAAATAAAATAAAAATTTATAAAACAATATATATCTCTTTCCTTGATATTTCTGAATAGCTTGTTATATATATGTTAAAAGTACTTGGTAACTTAATTTAAAGAATATATTATTTTTTCTTATGTATTTTAACAGGTTTACTTTTTTCAAAAAATTATCAAAAAAGAAAGATTAACAGAAAGAGTTTTTTATTCACAATAAGTTATTTTTTTTTTTTGAGTATCCATAGCTAGGCTAGATTATTAATTTATTAATCAATTGAAAATATAAATATATTTTCATTCAAGTAATATAATACATATTATATCTAAACTATTATTTTAATTTAATTAACTTATCACAAGTATAAAAGCCTCTAAATTTGATCTGAGAAAACAATATTTTGTTTCACAGTATCTTTATATAAAAACTTTTTTAATCCCCTATATTATTGCCAGCAGGTTGTTATTATCATATATCAAACCAAGCTACTGAAATACAAAAACTATAAGAAAATGGATTAAAAAAAGAAAAAGTATAATATTTAAAAATGTTTAAATAAATAACAAGAAAATGAAAAAGTAAAAATTAAAAAAAAATTTTTCCAACTTCTTTTAAAAACCTGCTTTTCAAGATCTCTTCTCAATAAAAAATGGTCAATTGAAATATTCTTTTTTTTCTTGACTATCTGAGAAACTTATCTATTCTTAATCTTGATTTTTTTCTTGTGTATTTTTTAAGAAGACTTATCATCTAGTAAAAACCTTTACTTTCAGGATACACTTGGTTCTAACCTTCTTTGAGCAGTGATTTTTTATTTATTTGTGATAGAGAGGCAACTTATGATGGACCCGAGGTTCTGATGTAACTTAATAGAAACTAAGTCATATTGTTTCAATATAATATTTTTCAGCAGTTATATCTAGTTAAAGGAATTTTACTGGTATATATCTTCTATTATTCAAAAGATTGGATTTTTAACAATCTTTTTGTCTTATAATAGTAGAAGAGTTTCAAACAATAATAGGGATCCTCATTAATTATAATATTCTTCAACAACTTCTGATAAAATATATTCTTAAGTATATTCAAAGGGTTGGAGCTTAGTATGAACTAAAGATTATTTGGTCTTATTTATGTTTTTTATTAACTTTTTATAGTTAACATATCTTTGTATGCATTTAATTTACAGGATAATATAAACTATATACTATCTATTATATTAAGTAATTAAATTATTCTACATATAGTATACTAGATCAACCTATTCAGTTATTTAGTTTCTTTTCTAGAAAGAATATATAATATTCTCTTAATTTTTTCTAGAACAATTTTTTATAAAATAATCTAGTTATTATATTATTGTATATACTTTAACCTATCTCTAGTTTTGGGACTTCAGCATGTCTATAGATTTCTTTTTCTACCAAGGTCTCCTAATGATATATCACAAGTAAGTTTGACTATACTTTTATATATTTTATTAGTACAATATTTATTCTCTTCAAGACTTCAATCTTTTTAACTTGACAATTTCTTTATTGATCAATAAAATTGGCAGAGTACCTTCACCAATCTAATTTCTGTTTTAGTTGATCATAAGATCAGCCCTATTCTCCTATATCTTATAATAATAATTGTAAAATACTAATTGTTCATAACATCCATAAACCAGCCTGATCTGATAGAGATCAGTTATAGATAATACTGTATTACAGTAGATTTTTTTATTTTGAGTATCAGTAAGATAATTAGAACTGTACCCAATAACAAGTGATAACTTGTTATCCAATAGAATTGTTTTTATTATATATAGTATTTTTACTTGATTCTCAGGTGATATTGAATTCTAAATCTTGTAATTGTGATTTGGAAGTACTACTATTGTGCTATAAATCCATAGGTTTTTTATTTACAATAAGCTATTATTAATTTTTTTTAATAACTGTAATTAGACTAGCATAGTGTTTTATTAATCTTTAAAAAAATTAATAGA